GGCCACTCTTCACGACACACATGACACATCTTTGTGCCACAGTGTCTTCCCCTTGTGGCTGGTCTGTCCTGCTCTGCATTCATCAGAGTGAGGATGACTAGCCTGCTGGGACCTGAGCCTCGCCAACTATGGCCCTCCAAGCGGTCGCTGGGAATCCATGACGTCACTCTCCTGACCCAGCCAGCCCACCTCTTGCCAGGGCCTGCTGGCTTATTAGAATCATGGCGCACAGACAACCAGGTGCCCTGGGTTGCCTGCAGTGAGGAAGGCAAGAGTGGTTTGGCAGATCTCCCTCTCTTGGCGGCTCTGGTATATGGAGGCTGCACTTTGGCACAGGATGGGATGCAGAGGTGGCACCTAACATTAGGAGCGAGCTCCAAAACTCAAATCAATGTTTCCAACAGGGGGAGGCCTGGGTTCTTTCCCAGCTCTGCTCCAAGGGCAGGTGACTCTGTGTTCTTATGGTCTGGATGTGAGGTGTCCTCCAAAAGCTCACACGGGAGACAGGCAAGGAGGTTGGGGGGAGAAATGATTGGGCCACCTCCTTAACCTAATCAGGGAATTAATCCCTGATGGGATCAACTGGGGGTGGCTGGAGGCAGTGCTCACTGGGCTGTGGCTGTGGGGTACGTATTTTGTATCTGGAGCGTGGAGTCTCTCTCTGCTTGCTGATCACCATGTGAGCTGCTTCCCTCTGCCACACTCTTCCACCCCGATGTCCTGCCCCACCTCGTGCCCTGAGGAGTGGACCTGTCAGTCTGAAAGTGTGAGCCCCTGAGTAAACTTTTTTGTGCTGGTGGGGTCCTTTAGTCACAGCAGTGACAAAGCTGAGTAAAACACAGAACTCAGTGCAAACACACAGTTGCTCTGGGAGGGGCAGAGGACGGCCACACCCAGAGGTAAAGACATCTGTCACCTCCCCACATTCTCTCCTGAACCTTGCTCCAACTGCATTGATTAATTTTTTTATTTTTTTTAAAAAAGATGGTATGGATCTCTTGTTTTATTGCTTGTTCAAAACATTACAAAGCTCTTGACATATCATATTTCATAATATTGATTAATGAGGGTATTTCTGAGAAAGTCAATTTCTGCTGGGTAGATTTAATTCCCTACTGGTATTTTCAGGCAAAGCTTCCTCTTTTCCAGGACATTCAGCCTTGGGAATGGTCCAAATGCTGCGGCATAAAACCTCACAGCTACGAAAGAGGGGAGACATGCATTCCCCTTTGATTCTCTGAATACTCAGTAGAACTCACGTCTGCTCTAGGGAGCAGAGCCCAGGTGGTTTATTCCAGTGTGTCACTGGGCCACAGCACCCAGGAGTCTGCTCTGGACACGGGCCTGGGACCCAGCCCCTCATCCACCAGCTTTCTTCTGGCTGCGCGGGCAGCAGCTCTGGGCCTGGGGAGAGCCCCAACTGATCTTGCTGGCAGCAAGGCCGTCTGTATCCAGGGCAGAGTGTGCCTGATCTGTGGGTCTGATGAACACTGATATCACAGCGTGGGGTGCGGCAAGGAATGCCGGGAGTGAAGTCCTTGAACCTCTCTCTGGCTTCCCTTCCTGTTTTGCCACATAAGCTCTCCCTCCCACTCCCACCATGATGCCACCTGCCATGTTTTGATGGGGCCCTCACCATGAGCTGGCTGGCTGGGGCTCCCAGATCTTTTACTTTCAACCTCCCAAATTGTGAGCTAAGCAAATCTCTTTTTTTTTTTATAAAGTACCCAGCTTCAGGCATTTTGTTATAGCAATATCAAAAGAGTTAGTTCAGAGGAGTAGTATGAAAGTTTGAGGACAGCATTGTGTTCAAGACAGTGTGATGCCCACCTGCTCTGCTTCACAGTATGTTTGGCAGAGCTCTGATAAAAGTTCTCTGTCCACAGAAGTAAGAAAGTGTACTAAAACAGCATTCTGGGGCTGGGGATGTGGCTCAAGCGGTAGCGTGCTTGCCTGGCATGCGTGCGGCTCGGGTTCGATCCTCAGCACCACATACAAACAAAGATGTTGTGTCCGCCGAGAACTAAAAAATAAATATTAAAAAATTTTCTCTCTCTCTCTAAAAAAAAAAAAACCCAGCATGCTTGAATATTGGCATCTAATAGACATACAGAGAAGAGAATCTCATTTGCTAAAGATGTAAAATATTTCCAAGATTTTAAATTCAGGCTTCTTGTACAGCAAAGGAAAAACATAGTACTTAATATCTAGATTTTTTTTCTCCCTAAAAGTTGAAATCTGTATTCAAGAGAAAGTTAAAAACCATACAGATGGAACTTTCCACAAGAACTACTTTTATACAGACTTTTGAAAGCAGCAAAATATGTTGCCAAGAAAATGATGAAATTGTCAAAGGAGGTTTTATAAATCATAAGGGGCTGTGGGCAACTCTGCCTGCATTTGAGGCAGCTGGGTGCCAACTGCATGGCTTAAGACATTTTGAATTAAGAAGTTGTAAATGGTAAGTAATCATGAAGCATGTTAAAAAATCAACTTAAAGTTTGTTAAGAACTTCTTAGAAATCAGGAAGTTATTTTCTCAATGAAGTAAAAGTTATTATTTTTATTTATGTTAAAAATTATTGTTTTTTCCCCTAAGAAAAAAATCAACAAAGGAAGACAATCAAAGGCTATGACTATTCCAGAACCTAGGACGCATCTGGTGTCCTTGTAGTTTGTAGTCAGGGAATGTGGGACTGCATTTCAACAATGCTAATATGCACTTTTAATGACATTTCACATCTCTGAAATCTGGAGGAATGTTATAGTCAGTGGCAGGTTCTAGCTTTGCTGGTAGCAGTGTATGAAATTAGCAGAGCATCTTCAATGGACGCCTTGCAGCCTCTGCACCTCTGGATGGCTATACATTCTGCGCTGTGCAGACTGGACCTTGGTTGGACAGAGGGTGCTGTGGAGATAGATCTGGTTCACTCTGCACTTGCTAAACCATGTGCAGCGTGGGTCCAACCAGAGGGGGTGGTTTTATTCTAATTTGCATAGAAGTGCTTTAGGGGCTCACTGCTTCCCCAGCCCTTCCAACTGCAATCCAGCTCAGCTCCCCTAAAGACGCGTTTGCAATTGTTCTACTCCAACATCACCAGGGGCACAGTGCTCCTGGCCCCTGCCCTGGCTGAAACCCCATCTTTTTGTGGCACCTACCCACTCGCAGCTTGAAGTCATTGAAGGAGTGCTTGTTGATGGCATCCAGCTTGGCCACCAGGGCAAACGCAAACTCCACCATGGTGCCTATGTGCAGGTACTGCCGCTCCGGCTCCTGGAAGAAGGTAGACGTATGGAGATGTGGGTCAGAGGTCCACAAAAGGAGGCTACTCCTACTCAAGCCTGAGCTGCAGTCTGAAGGCCACACTGACAGCTCTAAGACAAGTGGTAAGAGCTAAGCCTCATCTGGAGGAAGCATCGGGTTGGAACCCATGTTGCTGGCAATGGAGACGTAAACCTCTGGAATAGAGTCACCGTCAGACAAAAGCAGTGTGGTGGGCTGCCGTGTGCTGGCTCCGAGTTAGCACGCTTCAGGACAATGGCCACTGTTCCCAGGCCCTGGCTTTGGGAACGCCCTTCCTCTTTCACCCTTGAATGCCTGGAAGCGGAGAGTCTTGTGGCTGAATCATGTCCCCCACCCCAGAGTCTTATGTTGAAGTCCTAAGCGAGGACCACAGAATATGACTACTGGAATGTGCAAACACGTCTTTAAAGAGGTGACTCATTGAGGCCATTGGGGTGGGCCCTTACCTAATACGCTGGTGTCTTCCATTTGGGGGGAGGTACCAGGGCTTGAACTCAGGGACACTTGACCACTGAGCCACGTCCCCAGCCCTATTTTGTATTTTTTTGGGGGGGATGGGCAGGGTCTCATTGAATGGTTCAGCACCTCGCCATTGCTGAGGCTGGCTTCGCACTCACGATCCTCCTGCCTCAGCCTCCCGAGCCGCTGGGATCACAGGCGTGTGCCACTGTCCTCAGTAAGAAAAGATTAGGACACAGGCACACACAGGGGGACAGCCCCACGAGGACACCAGAAGAAGTCGCCACCCACAAGCCAAGGAGGAGGAGCCCACCTTGCACACACCTGGATTCCAGATTACAGCCCCCAGACAGAGACCGTCACCTGAGCCTTCCAGCCCTGCCACCCTTTGTCACACCCGTCTCTCATACTTGGTCAGGGCAGCCCTTGCAAACTAACATTGGGGGGACAATTTCCTCTCTACAGTCGCCACGTGTTTCATCATCCCATGGGGAGGAGAGGATCTAGAGCGGGAGGAGAGGAGGCCCCAGTTTCCAGGGAAGACAGTGCGAAGGTCTGTGTCCATTACGACCGACTTACACTCATCACTCGGGTTACTAATTTATAACACTCACTGTGTTTATGTTTGCTTCTGGAATTCATCCTTTGTTAATTTCTGTATTTAGTTACACTTTAAAAATGATTATTGTTATTTGTGAATGATTCTGACAATAGAGTAAATTTAGACTTTCTGAAGGTCTCGGCTCCCCCCATATTTAATGATGAGATGCACCAAAGCAATTCAGAGATCACAGGTTTCCAAGTCCCCGTGAGCTGCTCTGCCTTCCGGGCTGAGCTGAAGCGTCCAGCCTACTGTGTGCCTGTGGCTGGGCAGGGACATCAGAGCCAGAGAACCCTGCCGCGCTCACTGGGAGCAACTCAGGGAGCCTCTCCCCTCATCTCCGCCTTCACCCAGACGGTCTTGGACACAGGAGAAGCATGTGGAAATGTTTACGAGCCACTGTGCCTGGGATGACAGGGGGACAACCAGGAGGAAACGGTGCCAGGTGCCAGGTGCAGAGCTGGCGGGTCCCATGGGGGAGGAAGCCCACTGATGCTCCTGTGGGGGCACATGCCCAGCAAGGAGCATCTGGGGAGCATGGTCCATGGGGGTGAGGACAAACGCCCTCTCAGAGGCTCCGCAGGGGTGGGGCAGCAGGAGATGGAGACAGTGGACATAAGCCATGCATTCAAAGCCCAGGGGGGGAGAACCCAGGCAGCACTGATGGAAGGAGGAGGTGACCCGAGGTGGCTCCCCTGATCTGCAGAGTGATCTGGCAGGAAGGGGGAGGCAGCGCTCCCCAGCTCTGCTCCTCCCCACCTCCCCCTGCTGAAACTCGGGCTGGGCAACTCTTTGTTCTGGGGACCATCATGCAGCGGCGCGGGCACCCTGCAACCTCTAGGGGACATGAGTGTCACCCCACCTCTAGCTGTGAAACCAAGCGTCTCTTCTTACTGGCAAATATTCCCGGGAAGGGGGGACGGCTCCCCGTGAGAGCCACAGCACCAAATAGCAGAAACTTAGCGGAAAGAGGAGATAGGCTTCAAGAGAAGGAAGAAGTCCATCAAGAGAAGGGTTTTTCCACTTTGTCAAGTAAATTGTATCTTCTAGAAAAAGATGATGGAAAGCGCTTTTGCTGTGAATTCTCACCATAAAATCATGGGAGGAAAAAATAGTGAAACTCTTGGAACCACAAAGCCACAGTCAGCTGACTCTGGTGGCAGTGCAGTGCCATTTCTTGCTGTCATGACTTGTGGGGAGTGCGGGTTCGGGGCCTGTGAGGCCGTGAGCTGGAAATCATCTTGCTCCTTAGCAGGGAGCACGGGCTGCAGAATCAGCAGGCAGGAGCGTGTGTGGCTCAGACTGCAGCTGTCCCCCGGGGAGGACGGATTGGCCATGGGGAAATGTTTGGAATAAAGCGCAGCAGGCGCGCTCTGCTCCCTAGTGAGTTATCGCCACATCCGTTTTCATGCAGCCGGTTTAAACCTCAGGTTTTAAGTGACCTGAGTAATAAGAAGAGATTGAGTTTGGGGAGTGGGGTATAAATCCAACGTCAAGAACTCATAAGGGCTTAGTAAGCCCTAGGAAAAAATATGTTTGGTGTCTGGAAGAACTCAATTCATTTTGAAAGGTGCTTCTAACTGAGCTCTTGATAAATTTTTGATGGAAGTATGAAGCAGTTATTTCTCCCATGACCCAAATGATTTCTGCTAGATACCTCCCAATATGCAGCTGGCTTCCAGCGACACAGCGAGACAACCCGACGGCTACTGAGATGACCTGAAGTCAAGTGGCTGCTTGGTAACCACGGAGGTGACCTCTTAGGCTAAATTAACATGACCTCCTCCCCTTCTTCCTTCTGTGCATTGAGCGCCTGCTGTGTGCCCAGCTCTGTGCTCCCTGGTGGAAAACCCTTGGTATGCAAAATCCCACTTGCTTGATTTTGTAGGGGACTTGGGCTGTCACCTAAGAAGCATTTTTTTTTCTTCTTGGAGCTCCCAGAAGATCTGATTAGACCTCTAAGTTCTCTGGATAGCTGTCAGGCCTCTGGGTGAGCAGGAAGAACTCTTGCTGTGATGTTCTCTGCTCACCCCCAGAAGGGGTTCAGTGAATATTGCCTGAGTCTGGCAAAACTGGGCTTAGCCCCAGGTTCTGCAATCATTAGCTGTGTGACTTTGGTTGAGTCACTTAACTTCACTGGGCTTCAGCATCCTCACTAGTAAGTGTGACAATAACTCTCTACCCCATTGGGTGGTGGTTAGGATGATGTGAACTGACACAACAGTACGTTCAGCCTCTATCCCTAGGGCTTTGGATCATCCGCCTCTCTTTGTGATGGAGAAGAGCATCCCTCTGCCCAATGAGAAGGGCATCTAGGAGGTGTGTTCGTCAGCTTTCCATCACTACGACAGAATACCTGAGGGGGACGATTAAAAGGAGAAAAGGTTCATTTTGACCCACGATTTCAGAGGTTTCAGTCCATGGCCACTTGCCCCCATGGCTCTGGCCCGGGAGTGTGTGTCACTTCATGGCAGCCAGGAAGTGAGAGATGGGAAATGGCCAGGCGCCAACATCCCCTTTGAAGGCATGTCCCCAGTGACCGGACCTCCACTCACGAGGCCTCATGTCCTGAAGGTCCCACCACCTGCCAAGAGCACCGTGAGCTGGCAGGCCGTTAGCATGTGGGTTTGGGGGACACTGGCTGGGCACCCTCCTCTTTCCACACTCAGAGCATCCCGTGCCGATGGGGGCTTTGGCAGTGACCCGAGGTCTGACACTCAGTGTCTCTGAGAGCCTCGGGTGTGCGGTGACGGCGAGGCTCATCCTCTCAGCTGTCAGCTGCCTCTTAACAGCACACACAGAGAAAGGTTTCCCTCGCTGGTGGCGCACCATGATAGCTTGGTGTTGGTACAAAAGTGCGCGGCTTTGGGACAGCACCTTCACCTCAACAGCACCTGTGTGGCTCTGTCCTCACCAGCAAAGGGACGGGCCCCTCGTGGCTTTCAACGAGTACTTCTGCCCCTGGGTCCTGGCAGCAGCAGGAGCCTCCTCCCTGCTGTCTGCTCCTCCTGGCCCAGGGGGGTCCCTCTGAGGCTCCTAGCTCCCTGCTCACCCGGGAACTGCTACCACTGTTCATTCCCCACTCTGAACTCCAAGGGAGGTCCGTCCTCAGCAAGTGTCCCAGACCAGGCATGGGGTGGGGTGGGGGTGGGATCCCCAGACTGCTAAATAAAACCCCCAACTCTCAACCTGGACAGCTCCTAACGGACAGAGACCCATTGCTGCCAGAGAGCCTGGACTTGCTAACACCCTGGGTGGGCAGGTGCAAGAGTCCTGGGGTGACTTACATAGAGCCTGGAATCTGGCTTGGCCTGGCAGAGGGAGTGGAAGAAGTGTGAGGAGTACTCACTGCAGTAGGATCTCAACCAGGGACTCAACCAGTGGACAGGGTGGTGCTTCACAGGGAAATGCCCACAACCCACATGCCCAGGCCTGCTGCCAACTTGTTTATATATAGTAAGCAATCAAATACTAAGTGTATGTTAAATGATGTTTCAATGCAGTAACAATTTAAAAAGGAAATAAAGTAATTAAAAAGTAGTTACAAACATTAAAAGTAATCGCAAAACCTGACCCGCACCAGGGTCCTACCTTGATAAGGAGTGAGCGCCCTACTCCCTCTTGCTCCCTGCTCTTCCCTCCTCTGTGTCTGGCCCTGTAACTCATATCCTCCCAGAGTGCTACAGGAAGGGGCATTAAGGTACCTGAAACAGAGTGACTAAAAGCTAGAGGTTTGGCTTCTTACAGCAACAGTGTGACGCAGGCATGGGTTTGGACGAAAGTCTTCAGCCCTGTGTTTTGGTTTTGACGCTGAAGTTCCCACTAGAACTGATTTGGAAAAGATCAAAACTGTTCACATCATTGCTACGACCAGCGATGGCTCTGATCTTAGTTTAGGGGCAAAAGAGAA